GACCGGAATTCTCTAAGATTGACCATATCCTAGGCACACAAGAAAATCTCAAGAAATTTAAAAAATAGAAATCATACCATGTACCTTCTCAGATCACAGTGGAATAAACTAGAATCAACCCTAACAGAACCCACATTTCTACACAAAAACGTGGAAATTAAACAACCTCCTACTAAATGATTATTCGTAAATGAAGAATCAAGACGGAAATAAAAATTCTATGAAGAAAACGACAATGGAGAGACAAGTTATCAACTCCTCTGGGACACAGCTAAAGCAGTTCTGAGAGGAAAGTTTTCTCCATAAATGCCTATAACCAAAAGGAAGAAGATCACAAATAGACAATCTACTGAAACGACTCAAAGAGCTGGAAAGAAGAACAGACCAACCCCAAACCAGCAGAAGAAGTGAAATCAACAAGATCAAATCAGAACTAAACGAAATTGAAAACAGGAAAGCTATTCAGGAGATTAATAAACAAAAAGTTGGTTCTTTGAAAAAATAACAAGATTGACACGCCTTGCTAAGCTACCGAAAAGCAGAAAGAGAAATCTCTAATAGCTCCATCAGGAATAAAAGGAGATATCACAACTGATCCCAAAGAGATACAAGATACAATTTATGATACTACAAAAATCTTTATGCACACAAACTGGAAAATGTGGAGGAAATGGACAAATTTCTAGAAACACACAGCCTCCCTAGGCTCAACCAGGAAGAAATAGATTCCCTGAACAAACCAATCTCAACAGCTGAAATAGAAACAGCAATTAAAAATCTCCTAAAAAGGAAAGTCCCGTCCAGATGGCTTCACACCTGAATTTACCATACTTACAAGAAGAACTAGTACCTATCTTACAGAAACTATTCCACAACATCGAGAAGAACGGAAACCTCCCCGACACCTTTTATGAAGCAAATATTACTCTGATACCAAACCAGGAAAGGATGCAACAAAAAAGAAACTACAGACCAATATCCCTAATGAATATAGATGCAAAATTTCAACAAAATCATAGCTAACCGAATCCAGACACTTATCAAAAAAATAATCCACCACGACCAAGTGGGCTTCATCCCAGGGATGCAGGGATGGTTTCAACATACGTAAATCTATAAATGCAATTCACCACATAAACAGAGCAACAAAGACCACATGATTCTTTCAATAGATGCAGAAAAGCTTTGACAAAATTCAACACCTTTCATGATACGAACACTTAAGAAAATAGGCATAGAAGGACATACCTAAAATGATACAAGCCATATATGACAGACCCATAGCCAACATCATACTGAATGGGGAAAGATTGAAATCATTCCCACTTAGAACTGGAACCAGACAAGGCTGCCACTATCTCCACTTCTGTTCAACTAGTGCTGGAAGTCTTGGCTACAGCAATCAGACAGGAAAATGGAATCAAAGGTATCCAAATAGGGGCAGAAGAGATCAAACTTTCACTGTTTGCTGATGATATGATATTGTATCTAGAAAACCCCAAGGATTCAACCAAGAAACTCCTGGAACTGATCAATGATTTAGTAAAGTCTCAGGATACAAATTAATACACAGAAATCAGAGGCATTCATATACGCAACAACAATCTAATTGAGAACCAAACAAAGACTCAATTCCCTTCACAATAGCAACAAAGAATTAAGTACCTAGGAATATATTACAAAGAGGTAAAAGACCTCTACAGGGAGAACTATGAATACTGAGGAAGGAATAGCAGAGGATGTAAACAGATGGAAATCCATACATGCTCGTGGATCCGCAGACTCAATATCATCAAAAGTCTATACTACCCAAACTGATCTACAGATTCAATGCAATACCTATTAAATCCCATCAGCATTCTTCACAGATATAGAAAAAATAATTTTACGCTTCGTATGGAACAAAGAAGACCCGAATATCAAGAGCAATTCTAGGCAACAAAACAAATGGGAGGCATTAATATGCCAGATATCAACTATACTACAAAGCCATAGTAATTAAAAAATATGGTATTGGCACAAAAATAGGAATATTGACCAGTGGAACAGATGTGAGAATCCTGATATAAACATCCTCATATAGCCATCTCATCTTTGACAAAGCAGACAAAAACATACGCTGGGGAAAAGAATCCCTCTTCAATAAATGGTGCTGGGAAAACTGGATAGCCACCTGTAGAAGGCTAAAACAGGACCACACCTTTCACCTCTCACAAAACCAACTCACGCTGGATAACAGACTTAAACCTAAGATATGAAACTATTAGAACTCTAGAGGAAAAAGTTGGAAACACTCTCCTAGACATCGGCCTGGGCAAAGAGTTTATGAAGAAGTCCCCAAAGGCAATCACAGCAGCAACAAAAATAAATAAATGGGACATGATCAAACTACAAAGCTTCTGCACAGCCAAAGAAATAGTCATGAAAGTAAACAGACAACCTACAGAATGGGAGAAAATTTTTGCATCCTATGCATCCGATAAGGGACTGATAAGTAGAATATACTTAGAACTCACGAAATTAGGAAGAAAAATCAAATAACCCCATTAAAAAGTGGCAAAGGACTTGAACAGAAACTTTTCTAAGAAGAACAGAGAATGGCCAACAAACATATGAAGAAATGCTCAACATCTCTAATCATCAGGGAAATGCAAATCAAAACCACAATGAGATATCACTTAACCCAGTGAGAATGGCCTTTATCAAAAAATCTCCAAACAATAAATGCTGGCGTGGTTGCGGAGAGAGAGGAACACTCCTACACTGCTGGTGGGACTGCAAACTAGTTCAACCTCTGTGGAAAGCAATATGGAGATACCTTAAAGCGATACAAGTGAATCTACCATTTGATCCAGCAATCCCATTGCTGGGCATCTACCCAAATGATCCAGTGACACTCTACAAAAAAGACACCTGCACTCGAATGTTTATAGCAGCACAATTCATAATTGCAAGGCTGTGGAAACGCCCAAGTGCCCATCAATCAAGATGGATTAATAAAATGTGGTATATGTACACCATGGAGTACTATTCAGCTCTAAGAAACAATGGTGATATAGCACACCTTGTATTTTCCTGGTTAGAGCTGGAACCCATACTACTAAGTGAAGTATCCCAAGAATGGAAAAACAAGCACCAGATATATTCTCCAGCAAACTGGTATTAACTGAGTAGCACCTAAGTGGACACATAGGTGCTACAGTAATAGGGTATTGGGCAGGTGGGAGGGGAGGGGCGGGCATATACATACATAGTGAGTGAGATGTGCACCATCTGGGGGATGGTCATGATGGAGACTCAGACTTTTGGGGGGAGGGGGGGAAATGGGCATATATTGAAACTTAAAATCTGTACCCCCATATATGCCAAAATAAAAAAATAATTAAACAAAAAAAAAAAAAAAGAAAAGACAGTCTCCAACAGAAGAGCTCTCTTCCTCAAGCACCAAAATGCAGTGCTAACTTCATCTCAAAAATGCATATGGTATTTTATAGTACACAAAATGCATTTAGATGCACGTCCTCATTTATTTAAGGTAGATGATGCAGGTATTAGTACTCCCTTACAAATAGGAACATCAGGCTTCCAAAAGGTTCACCAGCAATTCATTTCAGGTAGGAAAACAGGAAAACACAACACTCAACTCAGTTCATGACTTGGGGGAGACACACATCACAATTTTAGATTTGTTCTGAAAACTAACATAGTTTACCATACCTGATAAAAGCCCAATAAGGAGCATCAACAACCAGCCAGAAAAAGCATCACTCACACTGTGAATTAAGGCCCATGTTGACTCTTTGCTTTTATTGGTAATCTGGGGGAAAATGAGAAAACATTGGTTTACTACACATATCCTTTTTTCACTTCAAAATTGCTCAATAAAGAAATACAAAGACAAATCACCTGGGAATAGAACCCAATTTAGAGTTATTTTTCACATACTCTTTAGCTGAACCAATTTCACCAACAACTTTGAGGTTTACTCAACTCCACTCTACAGTATCATAATGCTCACAAGTACCTTATTTAGAACTTTTCCATTCAGTTGCTCATTTCTTATAGCATCAAATGTTTTGTTTATGGCAGTGATCTCTTTCTATCCTGGACATGAGATATCCCAAGGATGATCTCTCTACTCACAGCAAATAGTTTCATTATTTTTCAAAGAATAAACAACACAGGCTTATTTGAGTGCTGAAAGTACAATTTGAGGTTTACTACCTAGGGCTTGTGGTTCAGGTAAGGCAAATTCCAAGACTTGATCCCACAACCTCCTAATTGTACACTGATCACAGATATTAAGTGATGTCAATGATGCATCTCTTTCATTTTCAAAAACCTGCTGGCAATATCTAAGGCTATCAGGAGGTGCAGAAAGCTTTATCTTTTAGCCCCTATCTTTGTCAATTTAACCCTTCAGTACCCACACTTTTTTCTCTTCCAAGAATTATTGTTTTTTCTAGGATTTCAAATATTGACAGTCCTGTTTTAATTGTCAATAACTTTGAAAATAATCTGTCCTTAATTTTTACATTCTTTATAAACACATTTTTTATTTTTTTTTATGGATACATAATAGTTGTACATATTTATGGGGTCTATGTGATATTTTGACACAAGCATATAATGTATAATGCCCACATTAAAAAAAATAACATTCTGGCAGCTTTGTGTTTCATACTTCCCCCTTCTCTGTGCCTCTATATTTTATCCTTGAAATGGTGACTTGGCTACCCCACTTTTACCTACAGCAACATCACAAATAATAAATTATTATTAAAATTACAAAAGAAGTTTTAAAATTCATTTTGACCTATGACCCTAAGTTTTCAATTTCTGGGCTGAAAATGGATGATGTTACATTTTTCCCTGTAACATTGTTTCCTTTCTGATAAAGAACAGTTAATACTTAAAAAATCCCCCTTGGACTATTTGATAGACACATTTTAATTGGTTTTAGATTATTGAGTGGCACCATTTGTCTCAGATGCAACATTAATATAAAGAGAAATGTGCCCCTGTCATATTATAGGTGACTTTCATATATATTTCTTTTTTTTAGTCAAGCATGAAAATGAGGTTTATTGAGGAGAGAAAGGTAGGATTATAGGGCAAGAGCAAGATACAGGTTTACAGAGCATGGTACATACGCCACAGATGACAACCAGACCCACTGTTGCAGCAAAGTGAGAGCCAAATGAAGGGCACAAAAAGAGTGCAACTCTCATAATTTGAACAACATGTTGACTATGCAACTGATGACAAACTGAACTCTGAATTACAGACAGTAGAAATTTAAATGCCTGCCTGATTAATTGTTATGATAGAAGGAGTATATGGGTGTGTTCCCAAATGGGAGAAATCTTATGAAAAACAGAATGCTTTCTAGAGATCACCTTCCAAGTTGTGCTTTAAAAAAACCAAAAAAACAAAACTCACTGGGATCACTACAAATCCAAGGATTAAGAAGGAATTTCCCAAAACCTGTACCCAGGAGAACTTGACTCCTGGGTTCAGGTGGTCATGAGAAAACCAGTCAAGAGCTGGGAAAGGCTTAAGAATGAAAAGCAATCTCCACCTGACTGCTGAGGAGATTTGCTTGGCTCTGAGAAGAAGAAATCACAAAGCTGGGAGAGAATGGGGTCAGCTTAAAAGTTACATTTTAAATTTGGAGTCCAAGCAAACAGTAAGAAAAAATACTAATACCTACTTGTGGGTTGAAAAAGTGACTCACCAGAGGACTACCTACTGTGACTCTCAGGAGCTGGACACTTACCCTTTTAATAATGTTTCCATGTGGTCCTCACACAAACTAGAAATTGTGATTCCCTAATTTAAATGATTCACAACAAGTTAAAGGTAACTGACCTTGGCAGACTGCTCTGAGAAGTTTTCACAGTACTTTGAAAAGAGAAAAGTGAGAAAATTCTCTTGCCAAATTCAAAAGAATTTGTACCATAGCCATAAGTACCCTCTATTACCTATCATGTTAAATTAACATCCTTAAATTTGATTGGTCTTGTGGTTTTATTGGAGAAGAATGCACATGTTTACTTTGGTTTTATGGTTGTACAAGAGCTATAATCACAAGGATTTTATCCTGCATGCTTCAGTAAACACTACAGCTCTGAGAATTTTTCTTTTATTCCTTTAAAGGGAGCCCCATGTACTTTTCTTAGTTTTTAAAATCCTGTATCAAGGGAAAAACCATAAAGGGGAGATGAGATGGGAAAGGAAGATCTTTGACATTTATCTTGCCACCCTCCTCCAAGTTTGTTTTAACTTCTCTCCAGAGGCATTTATATACATATTTCAGGGCTATAAAGATCTTTTTCAACTATTTACTACAGGAAGAAAAATCATCATTAAATATAATTTTATTTAAAAAATTATAGCATAAAAATCATATGCAAGATGTCTTTAAAAATAAAATAAATTAAAAAAATGAAACTCTACGTTGCTAACAGAAAACAGATCCATCCACATCCAGGGCTGAAGGAAATAACAGAAAGAATATATATCTTTAATTTCTTCCCCTCGCATTTCTTAACACTTATCCAAGTATCATCTTTTGTCTTACCTCTCGGTGCCTATCCCGGTCTCGAGACTTCTCTCTCACCCAATCAATTGTATTGAAATCATCATAGGTCCCTACACCAGGAATTGGCTCCTCCAAGAAGTCCATGATTCTATATGAAGAACCTATTCCTCCACCATTGTATGACTTGCCCTCTGTATTGAATCAGAAACAGACATTAGTACTTAAGATGGACACTATTAACATTTTTAATACCTCCTTTCTAAGTTCCAAAAGGTGAGGCCTTAAACTATCAGATGACTGTAGTTAGAGTGTACTGATAAAGCAACATAATCACTGGGTGGGAACATACATCACAGTCACAGGTTTCTGTGGTCTAGGCACAAAATTATGAGTGGCTAAAGGTAGTGTGAATAGAAAGGGACAGATGGCAGTGACAGTACCAAGAGAAATGACATGAGTTGATGTGCAACAGAAAAGAATTTATGATATCAAAGATAGGAAGGAGCTTGGAACAGCTTAAGTATTTCAGTTTATAGAAGGGAGACAAAAGAGTCAAAGGTCTTTGCAGACACATCACATCAAGAATCATTTTACATTTATAAGGCAGTAATTCAATCCTGTGAGGTGGCTTTTGCCTGAAAGCCTGTCAGCTTCTTCAAGAGTTAAGCTGGCAGGAAAGTACAAATTCCCCTTCAATAGGTCTAAGACTTGATCCCTGATGTAATGGGCTTGTAGAAACTCTTTCTAAGTATGTCGGAACAGTCTAAGATTTACAGGTAGAGACTTAAAGAACAGTGCATGGCTTGGTGATGAAACATCATCTAGAATGAACATATCCATTTGCCCACTTATACTCTTTACCTGCTTTGCTTTTGACACTTCTATTACCACTACTTATGCATATGTTTTATCTTCCTTTCTAGACCAGAAGCTTTTTTCTGGCAACCCTACATCTGATTAAATCATTGCCTTCTCCACAGTGTCTAGCACATTTTCAAAACTTAATAAACATCAGCTGAACCAAAATTTATTTGATGAATGGCGGGGATAAGGGAGAAAATTTTAAACTCACAAGTTGTACTCACGCAAGGCTTAACAAACTTGATCAAAATATTCCTGCAATGTCATCTGATAGAACAATATTTTGCTATTAAATACAGAATGTAAAACAGTATTGAGAAATTTATGCAAATGTACACTGAGGAAAATACAGAATAATGCCTTCATTTAATTCACCCAGCCAAAGCTCACATTTGCAGCACCAACCTTGGCAAGGACAAGGCTTCATCCAGACTCTTTGGTAATGAATCCTTCTGCGGAGAAGGCTCAAGTGGGCCTGAGCTGACTCCCTCTTCTCCCTTCTGTATTCCCATCTTCACTGTAAACTCCTAACAGACAAACTTTAGCATTCTCCTGGGGCAAATTTGAAGGAGCTGTACCTGGTTTACCAACTGTAAGTCTTCTGAATACCTAAGTCAGCACACCTTTCACTAGTAATGTGCACATTTGAAAGGAAAAGCTCTGAAGAGTCCAAATCATCTGGAGGGTGGGGTTGGGGGAGGAGTAGAGAAGGTGAACAAGTTAATCTTAAAACCCCAAACCAAAGTCCTTTCCATATCTTCATTCGTACCTGGATATAAAATGGATGCCTGCTGAATCACCAGCCCAGCATTTCCAATCATGTCAGTGCCATACTGATAAAGATGAAAGCTGGTATGTTGCTTGAGAGCTTAGAGAGGAAAAGCCCAGTAGGAAATGAGGGCAGAAAGAGAATAAAGTATGTGTGTTGGGGGCGGGGAGGCAAGCTGTTTCAATTCTCAAGTCAAATGCTGACATGAACACAGGACACCAAACAACCAGAAATTTACTTTTTAAGGCAGGTTACTACTTCAATTGAATTTACTCTGGTTTAAGAGTTCTCGTTTCAGGAGGAAGAAAAAGGATTTTGTGAAATTGATTTTAAAAAGCATCCAATAGCTATCTAATGTTACACTATGATGTATCAAATAAGGCCCCCAACTTTAAGGATATTAAGGCAAAACGAAGATCTGCAACAGCTCCCTAGCAGGAAAGAAAGAATCCTATTACATCACTAGGTAACATGAGCACTGCATCATCCTCCTTTGTTGTCCCGAAACGCGATTGTCAGACCACTCTCAAAGAGCAGGCAGTGATTAGAATCCTACAACAGACTGCTTGCAATTCTCCAGGGGGGGGGGGGGGCATGCGTCCTTGGTCAGGCTCAAGTCTGCTTACCTTCAATAACAGTTTTCTTTTTTTCTGTCTCAAGGAAGAAATAACCTTGGCAGCCTGCATTTGGTCATTTAGGTTGAGGAGCTTTAACTCTGAAGTGCTTAGAAGGGCACTTGCTGCATTCTCTGCCTTTCACAGCAACAAACGCCACCTAAAGAACCACCAGTGTTCCCAGGCAGTCAGAATGTGATGTCACTGTTAGAATCACATGACCAGACCCTTGGACCAGCCTTGGAGAAAGGAAGATTTTTAACTGGGCACAGAAGCCTTAAAGATGTAGTCTCATCTAAACAAATGCCATCAAACTGGGGGCAGCCAGGTCAGCTCAGAAAACTGCGGCCGAGACAAGTCTTAGTTTTCAGACCTCATTTAGCAGAAAGTCCAACGAGATTAAGTAGAAATATCCAAAAGCACTTAGAGTGACAGGGGTCCTAAGTAAAAAAAGGGAGAGAGGCAAATATAGAAAAGGCTTTTAAAAAAACACTCTGGAGAGCAATACTGTGGGTAAAATCTCACAAACTTAATGCTGAATGAAACATACCAGACACAAAGGAGCACATAACATTAACAATTGTATTCCTGTAAATTCAAAAACAGACAAGCCTAAATTATATCATTTTAGGATACAAATGCAAGTGATTACATTAAAAAGATAAGCAAGAAAATGGCAAAAGTAAAGACAGGAGCTACCCAGAGGAGAGGGCTGCCATCTGGAGGAATACATGGCAAGGGTGGGGCTTCTGGAATGCTGGTCATTTTTCTTGATCTTGGAGGTGATTACCTAAGTGTTCACTTTATTATTATTTTTAAATGGTATGCATATGTTTTATGTCTCTTTCTCTGTGTACATATTATAATTAGAGATTAAATGAAAAAATGAACTGCATATGAACCTACTATATAAGGTCAGTTCTTTAAAAATCCAGTCACTTTGAAAATCCATACTACAGTCAAGAAAATGAGCTGTTTCTTACAGTAGTGCTCTACCCAGAAAGCAACATCAACTCTGATACCCATAAATCTAATCTGGGTGGAAGCAGCTATTTCAGCCCTGACAATAAATTCACTATGATGTTTCCATTGTTTTAAAGGCTTTCTTAGCTTCAGCTCTATTCCAAAGGCTATTTTTAAGCAGGTCTTAATTAATTGTGCAATAAGGCCAGTCCAGTAAGGAAGAATAAAATTGCTCTCCCAAATCCCTAAATGAATCTCCAGGACAGCCACTGTTAAACATTAACCCAGTCACAGTGTGCTCTAATAATCAGATTCTAAATATAGGGCTTTGAAATGTTGATGAACATTGATGAAATTGATGAACTCTCATCAATTCTTAAGATTTGATGCATCCTGAAATGTTAATACAATGAAACCTTATGAAATGTAAGGCAATGCATGAAACTTATATGCTTTCAGTCAATTGTTATAATATCCCACTCTCTTGATGAACTAATCTAGCATTAATGAGGAGAATTAAAGCAAGTGGCAACTGATAGTATTAAGTGGCAATGAGCTACAATGCTGTAAAAAGCAAAAAGCATTTGTGGCCCAAATATGATTGTCTTATGTAATTAAACTTTTAGAACTTTTTAAACTTTTTAAACTAATTAACTTTTTAAACTACTTAAACTTTTTAAACTTTTATTCAAAGAGGGTAACATGCCCAACCTCTTAAGCCTCCTTTAAAATTGTTCTTTATTAAAAAACATGATTTTACCTGTTGTATCTGAAGACCACTACAGAATACACTTTTGGCATCCAATATGACTTACATTATCTTATTATATTATCTCACACTTTAGCAGCTACAGTATTTAGCAGTCAATTTACCGAAAATACTGTCTTTTTTGGTACTTAAAAACTGTATAGTTCTATGGATTGCATAGCTGTTGCTATGATATTAACTTTTAATAAAAGTTCATGTGTTTTTCAAATGCTCTATCAGCACTCCTAGAGGAAGGACCTTTTTAAAATTCCATGTAAAGTTACTTCCTTTGAGAACCAAAGGGCTGGTAGCTATGATGTAGTCCCCATACTAAAATGAGATTAAGAAATGAGGCACTGGGACTCAGAGGTTGACATGCTATATTTCTCTTATTCTTTTATATCCTCCATTCCCTTCTCTGCCAAATTTGTAATCACTAGCATGTGTTCATTATGCAGACTGCCCAGTGCAGGTCAACTGATACTATTATGAAAATAAGACAGAGAAATCCTTAGCAATTTTTAATGCATCCATGACGAAAATGCAATAATATTACAATTAATATTTTGGGATAGCAGAGTTATCTTCCTGACACAGATCTGACCAGATCATTACCAATTTCTAAAAGGTCAGTGACTCCTACAGCAATGTTTTGAAAACTTTTAGCACATGAAGACCCCTTAATGGGTATTTGGCACAAGTGTGGACCACAAATTTAAAACTATTCATCTTAATTTTTAGAAAAAAAACCAAAACATTTAAAAATGTGTAATAATAATGATGACAATGACATTGCTACTATTTCAATGAGAGGGATTAAATTGTACTCTTTCACCAATGTATCTATAGCTGACCTGATGGTAAATAGCTTAAGGTGTTGGTCATATTCCACATCCAGTTGGTTTCTTTTCTTAGCATTTTTTTAAATTTAGCAGAAAAAAAAAGCAAATTCATAAAATTTAGTTGTCAAGAATGGCAGCAGAGATTATGTGCCCCTTCAGGGCCAACTGATGAGGCACAAAGTAACAAAATGCAAAAGGTTTTTCAAAAACTAGTATATTAAGAGTTAAGCTTCTGGGCTGAGCACATTGGCTCATGCCTGTAATCGTAGCACTCTTGGAGGCTGATCGCTTGAGGTCAGGAGTTTGAAACCAGCCTGACCAAGAGCAAGACCCCATCTCTAAAAAAAAAAAAAAAAAAATTAGCCGGGCACAGTAGCATGTGCCTGTAGTTCCAGCTACTCGGGAGGCCAAGGCAGGAGAATCACTTAAATCTAGGAGTTTGAGTTTGCAGTGAGCTATTAATATGGTGACACCACTGTACTCTAGCTGGGGTGACAGATAGAGTCTCTGTTTCAAAAAAATAATAATAATTAAGCTTCTGGTGTGTAAACAAACACACTGTCGAGAAAGGTAGAGTAAAATTAAACTAAATGTCAGATTGGAGTACTTAAGTGAGTCCAGATTTTTGCCTCTATAAGAAAAAAAAGTTAAACTTATCTCAAGTAAGTTTTGATGGCCTAGTGAATATTATACATAAAATAATTGAATGCTCTAATAGGAAAATTATTCAAGTTAAAGTACAATTAGATCTCGACTTGAAGGACAGAAGAAAAAGCCCCCAAAAGGCTAATTTACATTGCCTGAGTCCAGGAAAAACACACAGTAAACTAGTCAGAGAAAAAAGTCAACATTAAAACAGCTTTCCTGCCGGGCGCGGTGGCTCACGCCTGTAATCCTAGCACTCTGGGAGGCTGAGGCGGGCGGATTGCTCAAGGTCAGGAGTTCAAAACCAGCCTGAGCGAGACCCCGTCTCTACTATAAAAAAAAATAGAAAGAAATTAATTGGCCAACTAATTTATATATACAAAAAAAATTAGCCGGGCATGGTGGCACATGCCTGTAGTCCCAGCTACTCGGGAGGCTGAGGCAGGAGGATCGCTTGAGCCCAGGAGATTGAGGTTGCTGTGAGCTAGGCTGATGCCACGGCACTCACTCTAGCCTGGGCAACAAAGCGAGACTCTGTCTCAAAAAAAAAAAAAAAACAGCTTTCCTTACATTATACTTAGGTCTAAGACTTAACAACGGGTCTTTAGAAACACACTGCTTAAATAAGAAGGCGTACAAATGAATGCATTTAACCTAGTTCCCATTATGGAAACTACTTTCTAATTTTTTTCCTAAAAGAAATCACAGGATGCTTAAAACTAGAAAATCCTTTAAAATACAAGAAAAAAATTCAGATTTGAGAATGTTTATTTCAATCCCTAACTAATATGCCATTAGAAATTTACCTAGGGGGCTGAACAGTAACTGATTAAGTGAACTAGTTAATCACTAACAAAAACACAAGGGGGAAAAGGATAGAAAGAAACCTAAAGCATAGACCTTGAAGTACTGCTTTAGTAATATCACAGCTGCATGAGGGCTCCATAATTGGCAACAGCCTAAAGAAATAAATAAACGCTCAAAGAAATGGGGCAGAGCCATTAGTATGTATCACAGGACTTGAAAATCATCCCTTGAAAAATATTTCAGTTTTATAGGGATATATTATATTTTTGCAAGGCTGGAACCACATCTACAAAACATTTAACACTATGCCTAGCACATATCAGCAGATACTCATCCTGTAGTAATTTAAACCTTACCTCTATTCAACAGCAACTACTGAGAGCCTATTACATGTCATTTTTCACTTCCATAACTGCACCGCCCCTTCCCTTCTTGTACTGGTTTATCCATTCTAGATCTTCTAATAAATCATAAACTCTTTCACATTTCATTTCACCTACATGTCTGTGTCTGAAAATACATTACAGTTGAAGCCCTAATAATTAGGCAATGTTTGTAGGACCTTTCTATCTAGGAACTTGTGCTTCCATTTTGCTTCTACTTTGCTTTTCCACTTACCCAAACCCATTGGCCAAAAAGCAAATGTTGTTGGAGTAGTCTCCCATCTAAGTCCTGTAGAGCATCACTGGACCATGTTATGCTTTAATATGCTATCTTAGTTTGACCCCTGGAATATCTATTCAGGGTGACTATTCTGTTGATACACATCTATAAGTCATACTGGTTGTTAAATACTGAAATATCTCAGTAGCTATAGATAAATAACTACTTTTTTTCTGAGGACTCTCCTCCTCCTTGCCTCCCATCAGCCCTTAGAAACTCCTGAACTTTCCCATGATCCAGCAGCTGGAACACCAGGAGGCTCCAGGACACTGCCTTAGTGCTAAGTCTGACATCCAATCTGACTGATAAGCACCTGTGTTGTTTTGAATCTCACCCCTGCACTCATTTCATTTAGGGATCCACTGCTTTGGTTCCTGCTCAGAGCAAGTTAAAACTTGAAATTATCTAAGATGCAGGAAGGACAACAAAGAAGAAACTATATCCCAACTCTGCTGAGAGCTGGACAATAAAAGGGGTAGTGAGGGATGTGGGTAATGGAACTGTAAAAACCACAACAAATCTATTGAAATGAAGTTTGAGAGTTATGAGAAGAATACAGTAAGGTATGGCATGGTAGAAGGGGATAGGCAGAACTTTAGAGACAAGCATAGATCAAGATTCTGACACTACTTTATGACTCCTTTTTTCCCATTGGCTATAGCTCTATACCCACTGGGTTGTAGATATTTTGGGGGGGGGTGTATCTCTTTTATGCATCTGTATCCTACTCCCAGCATCTGCTCTAATCTGGAAGTTCCCAAGCCAACCCACTTTCATCATGAGTGGAGCCAGGTAGCTAATTGCCAGAATTACCAGTTAGCAGAAACAGCACATGAGGATTTTTGCTTGGTAACTATGGTTCTCACTAGACTAGAATGCCACAGAAAGCAATATAGAACTAGAAGTAAAGGGGCTAGTTTTGATAAAGTTGCTGAGAGGGCTGTCCATATAAAGCAAACAGCCCTTTACTCCCTTATCGGCTCTTCATTCCTTTCTTCTCAAGTGTACACACTTATGGGACTGACAAGAGAGTGGAGAATACAATAGGTAGTGAGACACTACCCTAAAATGCACATTACATAACCACAGTGTTGGAAAATCCTTTGGGTAGCATGATCCTGCCTAATAATTTATAATTATTGTTTTAGAAGCAGTAATTCTCCAGTTCTTTTATATGAAGTCTACATTGGTTTCTCTCTATTAATCTCCAAAAAGAAGTTGGGGACAAGAAACTAGCAGTTCTTCTTTGGTGGGGAAAAATTTTGAGACAGGAAATACCAATCAGGAAATTCTTCTTGGATTCATAGGAATAGTGCAATGTCATGGACAGAAAAATGAGTTAAAAAAAAAAAAAAAAAAGCATATCTCCCCTGGGAATCCCTTAAAGAAACAGTTGCAATTGTGTACACCAATGTACCTATGTTATTCATTGTAGCACTGTCTGTAGTAGCAAACCTGGAAACAATGATAGTGCTCAGTAATAGGGGAATAGTAAAAGGAAGGAAGTAGACTGATGTGTAGTAAAATAGAAAAATCTCCCAGACATATTATATGAAAAATCAAGTCAAAAAATAATAAGTAGAATTTTTTTTTCAAGTGTGTGTCTCTGTGTGTGACTAGATAGAGAAAGAACTGGAAGGATCATATTGAAGTCTTTTTGGTGGTTGTCTCTTAAGTGGGAAGAACAGGGGGGACTTTCACATTTTACAGATGGGTATACTGTTTGAATCTTTTATAGTGAGGTGTATTTATGTGCTATATAAGTGATTTTGAAAATAAAAATAAAAGCAATGCAGCTGAAAGAGTAGAGACAGCATACTACAAAGAGCAGACCTCTATTCTGGGAGTCAGATCACTGGGATATTTATGGACAAAGCAAGTGATAGTTTCTGGTGAACACTAGGTAGAGAAGCCCTGAGAGAAAGGTGGCTTACTCAGTTTTTAAATAAAAGTCAATAGGAAAAAAGTCTTTGTGATTGAACCTACAGTCCAGCAGTAAGAAGACACAGATTCTAATCCCAGCTCTACAACTCATTAGTTGTGTCACCTTGGGCAACTGCCTTAATCTCTGTGGGTTTACAGGTTCACCATCTACAAAAGGAGGGGATATTAGCAAGTATGATTTTAAGGTCCCTTCCAACTTCATACTCTATCATTTTAGCAATGATATTTTGTTTGGTCACTCATATATTGTATTGAATGACTTCTGAGAGGACCTTATCCTTGAGGAATTCCAAATGGTATTTTGATTGCGTAGTTATCTGAGAATACTCTTCTGACAAGATCATAAAATGGTGCTACCAATCCTCAAAAAATATAAGTAAGATTCAGCTCACCAGTGAAGTATAGGACAAACTAGTATCCCACTGAGACCCAACACTACTATGGGTAACTATGTAGAATTTTACCCATATGGCTACAGCATCTCTGGAGTACCCGGTAGCCCCAGACCCCAGAAATGCACAGTACACACCTCCCGAGGCATTACAGCAACTCTTTTCTCTACCACATGTCATAAAGTGGAACAAAGCAATCCACTCAGGAATTACAGTATAAACAAAGGGCCTCTAAAATACATTTCCTTCAAGAAGGGACCAAAGTGGTTTCATTAAATGAAAAATAAATGGGGAGCCTCCGGATTCAGCTCCTGCAAGTAAAGACCTTAGAAGTTACTACTTTCATCCTTACAGGAAAAGTTTAGACAAACTGAAAAATCAATGATCTTTCTTGAACCCATTGGAGAAATGAGGTTGCAGAAGAAACTGCTACCCCAAAATCTCAGGAGACAAACTTATCCAAAGAAACAAAGCTGAGATCTGCTTACCTGGAGTAGAGATGGCTGGAACCATTAACTGGTAAGAACACTTAATAGGCAACTTGGAAAAATTCCTGAAGGCTGAGTGTGGATTAGTATGAGAATGAGAAACTCCTGGGTACCACAGTCTTAGTGGGAGCTCCCACACCAAGGCTCAAGCTCTACCTCCAGGAACACCACCACGTCCTTACAGCGAAGATCCAAGAAACAATTCCTCCCAACTCTGACCAGGCAAGGAAAAGAGCAATCACTATGAAATTTGACCAGAGATTTCTCCATAACAAAGGCCTATGCTCCAGGGGAAAATACCTGCCCTGAGCCTCCTCCCAGTTGGGGAAAAAGCATTCTTCCCACTCCAACCCCCTCTAG